TAGCACTCCAAATGTAGATCTACATTTTTTTACATGCTTTCTCATGGAGAAATTCAAGGTCGGAGCGCTACGTGCGCAAACGTAGATCTACGTTTGGACAGTTTAAGGCTTAAAATCGCCAAGTAACATAAGTGATGGCGGTTAGGAAGAAACCAGGAATGCAACATCTGGGACAGATAAGGCCCGAGAAGGAAAGAGATACAAAGAACAGGCTGTATACCACTTATTCAGGTGGATACAGGCTGCAGTGTAATGCAGCGAAGTATGAACAAAGAGCTGACAGTATAGAATACTGGTGCATAAAAGAAGTGCACTTTCATTAAAGGTTCCACTGAGAAAAGGGTTCGATGAATATAATAAACCATAGCCTGAGATGGGATGGATAACAGCGGAGCATAATTTGAGTTCTTGTAAACAAACACAAACAGGGGAAAACAGAGAGCAACACCTGGAGCTCACCCTGGGTTACCTCTGAGGCCGTGGATATTCCACTGTAAATAAGCCACGATTTGCGAAGAGAAAGATACAAGAAATTTTGAAGGAAGAGGTATCTATGGACTATTAGGATTAGAAAAGTCTACATGTAGAGGTAGCAGAAAGCTTTTAAGCAGCGAAGGATTGGGACACTGCGAAGAAAGGAGTTGTGCAGACAGATAAGAGTGAAGAGAAGGAACAAGAGGTGAATCAGTGTCCATCAATGATCTAGTGTCCTCAATATATTCTGAGAGAGCTTCAAGTGTTTCTGAGGACTAGGACGTTGCGTGTAGCGCAATACTGGAGATAGAAGAAGGAGGGTGAGTAAAGATTGGGGAGATGATGGACTGTACCAAAGTAAGGGGGGACAAAAGGGTAAAGGGAACTAGAGAAGAAGCTTGGGAGGGGACAGGAGAGGAAGCAACATAAGAGGGGGAAGAAGAGGAAGAAACTTGGGAGGGGACAGGGAAAGAAGGTACCATATGAAGAGGAGGATGAACCTCCACACTTGTAACAGAGCCAGTCAGAGGTAAAGAACTGGGTACAGACTGGGAAGGAAAAATGAGCAGGTTGCAGAAGGGAAGGAGGGGTGAAAGGAGATTTTAACAATGGGGATGTTTTGGACTTTGGAGTAGGAGAGGGGCGATGGGGAGTAGGTGTTGTACGAGGTCTTGTAGACACACAAACTTGTGAGTGAGAAGAGGAAGAGGTGAGAACAGAATGAGGTGCCGAGTAAGGGACCTCTGAGTCCAGGACAGCAAAAGAATTAGAAGATTGAGACACTTGTGCAACATATGGGAATCTTTATTCAGGAAATGTTTCGCCACACAGTGGCTTCATCAGTCCAATACAAAGTAGAAAGGCATAAGGAGAGGAGGAGTTTGAGGTAATCAGTCCCTCAGCCTGGAGTCGATGTGCTCAGTCCATCAATCTTGTAGAATGTACCGTAGTGTACCGTACATTCTACAAGATTGATGGACTGAGCACATCAACTCCGGGCTGAGGGACTGATTACCTCAAACTCCTCCTCTCCTTACGCCTTTCTACTTTGTATTGGACTGATGAAGCCACTGTGTGGCGAAACATTTCCTGAATAAAGATTCCCATATGTTGCATAAGTGTCACAATCTTCAACTTGTCGGTTTTTCAAACCATTCATCACAAAAGAATTAGAGACAGGGGTGACTGTGGAAGGGGTGACCATAGAGGAGACTGCAGAAGTTGGAACCCCAGAGAAGGGGGACATTTAGTAACTCAAGAATAAGAAATATGGGGAAGTTTCCCCTGAAGGTGTAGATGAGAGACTGCCATAGCATATGGGAGGCCTTCTGCCTCCGAGACAATGGATTTCACGCTCATTTAAGTAAACTTGGCAACGGCAAGAGTAAGAGGAGTGAGCCTCATGACAATTAAGGCAAGAAGGACGAAGACTGCAAGACATATTGGTACGGTCGTCGGCACCACAGACTGGACATTCAGCTATGGACCTGCAATATTTTGCTGGACAACCAAAACACCAGCAATTTCTACATTGTTGTGGTGTAGAGATCACCTTTCGAACTCGCAAATGGTGTCCCACTACGTACATAGAGGATGCAGGCTCACAGCAGTCAAAAGTTAAGCGAGCTACATTGCAAGGGTATCGTCAGAATGACAGTACCACTACAAGAATTGAGGGAATGATGTTTTTCAATAGCTACAGGAATAGTATCGATAGTTGTAAGGAGAGAAAGATCGTGAGCTTGGTTAGCACTCTGGACAGTGATGATGCATGTACCACTCTTGAGAGCATGAAAGGATACATCTCTACCAACATGGCATAGAAGCGCCTTACCAATACTATGGTCAGAAAGATAGGCAGTAGAGGAAGTCGGTTGTAGAGTAAAAAACTTAGTCCCTTGTGTATTTTGAAACTGTGTGTAAAGGGAGTGTGTAACATGCTGGTCTTTTCTGAGAACGAGAAGGAAGCGAAGAAGTATCATCAGATAATGGTCTCGGGCATTTAGGTGTGGGACCAGAGTTGGTCCGACATGGGACAGGAGGGCGATCCAAAAATTGCCACACCGAAGAGGGAGAAACCAGAAGCATAGTCAAAGAAGAGTTTGTTGTAACCCCAGTACCTGGAGCAGGTGTCAAAACAGCACCAGCAGGAGGTACAGGGGCATTAGAAATATCCAAAGAGTGGTCAAAAAAACGAGGCAGGGTCAGAACAGGATGCGGTATCAGGAAGGGGCCCAGGGGTAGCAGGTTCATGGATTGGGAACTCCATGGTTAGGTCACTTTTTTTTTTTTTTTTTTTTTTTTAGAAAAAAAAAGAAGACAAAAAACGGGGGGGGGGGGGGAATGTGGAGGAATAGCTCCTAGGAGGAATGAAAGGGCCGTAAATCTCCCTCCGCACCCAAGAGGGCCTCAGCACCGCAAGTAGTGCAGATGTGGCATGGAACCCATGCCATACCCTACCCTTCAAGCCAGTAAACCAGCAATCTGGGATAGCAACCTCACATCTGCCGAGCCACCTCAGTGGACAAAAGAGGGGGCGGCCGGACACCTACCACAAAGCATACCTCCTTTGGCCACCACCCCCCCAAATCCAAAATGTAGCCTTCAGAGATACACCCGTTACCCGAAAGACACCCAAAGCCACCCCCCAGGAGACTGGAGAGGGATTGGGACATCCCCAGGTGATCCAGATTCCTCAGCAAACTACACCACCCCCCAAGGACCTCAACAGAATGGAACAGAACACTTTACCCATCCCCCTACCTATGAACTGAAAGGCCTGTGGGGAGAATCCCAAAGGCTGAAAACAGGAAGGGGATAGGAAAAGGATGGAGAGGGGAGAAGGAAAGGGAAAGGGGAGATGGGGGGATGAGATAGGAAAGGGGAGATTGGGGGGTAATTAGCTTCGGTTTGAGGAAGGAGACCAAAAGGTCTAATTCCTCAGACCAAGAGCTTTTTCACCATGCCAAGGAGTCCCCCCTTGAAGAGGACATACACAATTATGCTGAAAGAATTTGTACCATAAAACAATTTTCTGCAATTAAAGAGGGCTGTAGGGCAAATTTCCGCGAGCTCTCACCCAAAAATCGAAAAATTATGGAAATTGAGTTATATATACCGAAAAATAGCTTAACTCTTTGGCAACACAATGGTACCAGAATGAATGTTCTATGACGTTTCTACAAGAAATTATAGTCATTTATATCAGGTATGGTGACGGTGATATTGGTAGCGAGTCTGCTCACGGCCCGTATATTTTTTGGAGTTTTTTCCTTGTTTTTTATCGCTTTTTCTTCCATTATTCTTTCTAATATAATAACTGACTATTTGGTATCATAAAACAGTAGGCGGAGCTTATCCGTAGACTCAGAGACAACCAGGAACCATATGGGAATGCTTGGCAGTGCTCCCGCTCCAGAGAGTGCCAGGAGAAATCACTTCATCATTACGCTTATATATCAACTCTACGGCTTATTTGTCTATTAGAATTGATCTAATATGATATAATAAACACTATAAATAACATACAAACATGTTATATACTCTAGACTGAATGAAATAGGCCATAATATGGCGAGAGATTATCGGAATATTTCGATATTATTGAGCTACTCCTCTCCAAGTCGTATTCTTTGGTCTCTGAGTAAGAGAAAACGGTTTTGAAGAGGATAACTACACTAGAACATCAGTTTACTAAGAAATACACCCAAACAAATGCGATTTTCGCGAATTTTTTTTTTTTTTTTTTTTTTGAGATGGGGGGCCGGCCGGCGCTACCGGCCGATATCTTGCAAGTAACTTGTTCACCTAAAGTCCATAATTCTTCCTTTATTACTTAATTAAATGGAATAATATTCACAGAAATTGTAGAATAATGATTTCTCTAATTTCCCCCAAGAAATTTTTGGAAATATTCCAAATACTTTGGGAGTTATGTGAGAGTAAAGGGCAGATTTTTTTGCAATATTCCAGAAACTTACAAACTTTATTTTTTTGTGAAATAAGGATAAGTTATTTAGAGGAAAGCTAACGATGAAAATTAGTATTAGCATTGTTCTCTCGGCACCAAGTGTCCAAACAACCTTACGAAGTCCCATATAAGAATGAATGTGGGCACAAGGGCATTTTCAGTCTTTTCTCAGTTGTTGTTTGAGGTATATTTTTGATAAATATTTTCAAGAAAGAGTGAAAACACTTTGTCTTGTGCACCAAAACTGGAGAAAATTGGACGGTAAACAAAAGTTACAAATTTTGCCCTACAGCGTCCTAAAGGCTGGCTGGGTAGTTTTATGTAATTAGAATAATTTTTAAGTTTAGGTGTTACTTTAAACACTAGTGTAGTCTACACCACTTTTTTTATTTCTTTACTAATGATGGGAATGGGTGTCTAAGAATCCAGAAAACTACCAGTGCTCTCACAGGCTCTTAAAAAATATATATATAATCCATGGATGACAAAATAATCATACACAGATCCATAAACACTGAATTACAAAGCATTTATTGAATGCTTATTAAACACTCACCTCCACCCCCCACAGATCTTTCCTGCTTCCTGCTTCTTTGCTGTATACAGTTACTTCTGCATTGATGGGAAACGACAGAATTTGCTTATCGATGCTATGGTAGCCAAGAAGCGAAAGACCCTTCGATATCGGCTCTGAGGGAATAAACTAATTATAAATAAACAGTACAGCAAAGCAATGTGAAGTAATTATGGTTACTTAAACTACTGAAAATCTATGCTCTACTTAATTTACCATATTACTACATTATGTATTTACTAATTTCAATCTATTCTACAAAGAGTCAGACATGCAATACGTATGCATTACTCCAAGAACCATACCTCCGAAAGTAGTATACGTATACTACTGTATCTACAGAAAAAGTGCAAATGGGGCCAGCAATGGGTAATGGTCTGAGCTCCTTTCTTGTGACATCCCATTTCAAAATATTTTAAAGACAAACTATTATATGGTATATGCAATACAAAGTATCGGTATCAGTAGGAACTGGTAGCAATATTGGAAATGGCCTAAAACTGAGTATTGGTGAATACTAATTTTATTGCTATCATTATCAGTATCAATACCAGCATTGATGTCAGTATCAGTGGGTATCGACTAATTCTGATTACATCGGTATCACACTAAAACAGAGTAGCTATCAATATCGCCAAAAAAACAAAATATTGTCCCATCCCTACAAAATATAGTGACTATTTAGGATATCATAAACTAAAGAAATCAGAAAACCTTCCTCCTGGTCTACAAGCTCTTCAAAAAGGGATACTGATTTTCTAACTGCATCTACAATGTCTTGTGCACAGATTAACATATGGTTTTCTAAATAGCCTACTGAATTATTTGATGAAAAGATGACACACTAGGCTTATTTACATCAACACCATATATTACATGGTTTTAAATTAACAATTCCTTACAAGATTATCCTAAACCTTATAACAATTATGGTAAAAAAAAATTGCTAAATAGAAAGATCATTAAAATACTGTACAGTATATGGTCCATAATGCTATTATTTTCTTTGGACACTAGCAGTAATTCCATCTCTTATCCAAGCATCTCAATAAAAATTATTGGCCATAATGTACACTTTCCCCAGGAGAGAAATCTACTAACATTTTATATTATAAATAACAACCATGTTATCTATTGCATGGAACACAAGTTATTCATTGTGGAAATTGTTTATTTACCTAATAATAGGCAAAATAAGAATATCAATTTATTTTTTGTTAAGTGTTGTTTAATGGACTTGGTTATATTTTAAACAAATAGGAAAGATTTATTTTTAGAGGTAAATTCAAAATCATAACTCAACCCAACCAAATCTAATACAGACCAGCTGTAAGGTTGTGGGTTAGGTTAGGTAACATTAGCTTAGGTTATATTTAACCCTTAAACTGTCAAAATGTAGATCTACGTTCACATGTGTAGTTCTCCGACCTTGATTTTCCCCATTTGAATGTAAAAAAAAAAAAAAAAAAAAAAAAAAAAATGTATATCTACATTTGGAGACCCCTCCCCCCCGCACGTGGACATTGATCTATGTTTGGACATTTTAAGGGTTAAAAGTCTTTTCACACAGGAAATAAATTACACTTACACTTACACAGGTACCATCTGACTTATGGCCAAGTTCGGTTCCGACAAACCAGTCGTAAGTCGAAATGGACATACCTTACTACTGAATATCAGCATCACATTTTTGCAATGACTTTATTTTATTGTTGCATTTTGGTACAGTGGACCCTCGACCAACGATGGCATCAATTAATGATAAATCCGACTAGCAATACATTTTAACGCAAAAATTTTTGCCTCGACTAGCGCTAAAAAACTCGACCAACACTATTCATTCCATCTGAGACGCGTCCACTTCTGGCCAGTGTTTACAAGCCAGCCAGCCACCGCGGTCGCTTAAAAGCATACAATCGGAACATTTCATATTATCACAGCCTTTTTAGTGATTGCACCTGCAAAGTAAGTCACCATGGGCCCCAAGAAAGCTTCTAGTGCCAACCCTACAGCAAAAAGGGTGAGAATTTCTATGGATATGAAGAAAGAGATCATTTCGAAGTATGAAAGTGGAGTGCGTGTCTCCGAGCTGGCCAGGGTTTTACACAAAAAACCCCAAACAACCATCGCTACTATTGTGGCCAAGAAAACGGCAATCAAGGAAGCTGTTCTTGCCAAAGGTACAACTATGTTTTTTGAAACTGAGATGCAAGTAATCGAAGATGTTGAGAGACTGTTATTGGTGTGGATAAATGAAAACAGATAGCAGGAGATAGCATCTCTCAAGCGATCATATGTGAAAAGGCAAAAGTTGATGACGATTTAATTAAAAAAAAACAAAAATAGTGGTGATGGAGTGAATTTAAGGCCAGCAAAGTTGGTTGAGAGATTAAAGGGAAGGAAAAAAAACCTGGAAAAAAGGGCTTGCCACCTCAAGTCTAAGGAAAGGGATTCCCCTTCTAAACACTAAGACCATCAACACTCCTCCCCTCCCCCATCCCATCCATCACACCAAATCTCAATAAAGGTAAGTGTCATGTAACTGTGCATGTCTTCTTCGTTTGTGTGTATTAAAATTAATATTTCATGTGGTAAAAACAATTTTTTTTATCATACTTTGGGGTGTCCTACACGGATTAATTTGATTTCCATTATTTCTTATGGGGAAAATTAACTTCTAACGATGATTCTGACTAACGATGAGCTCTCCCGAACGGATAATAGTGTTAAAACGAGGGTCCACTGTATTTCATTTTTTACTTTACTTTTTATGCTGTTAGTACTGTATTTTATACAGAAAAGGTTTAGGATAAACACTGTGTACAACACAAGCAGTTGTTTTATTTCCCAAAAAATTTGGCATAAAAAACAAGTCGTAAGTCAAAGCCCGAGCAGGTGTAAGTCGAATGTCGGCAGGTCGTAGCGGTTTATGTATTAGTATTATGTAGTTGTTGTATTAAACTCAAATGTTTTACAATCCAAGGGGGTTGGTAGGTAAAAACCATAGGCAACAGTTGGGCAACTTTTTTCCGAAATGTTTCGCCACACAGTGGGCTTTTTCATCGAATCAAAAAGTAGGCAGGAACAAGAGATGGAACGATGTAATCACCACACCCTTGAAGTCGTAAATTTTTGGGGTTTGCAGTCCCTCCCCCTGGAAATTTCATTTTCCAAGTCGGGAAACTATCTGTATTCGACAAAAAAGCCACTGTGTAGGCGAAACGTTTCAGAATAAAGTTGCCTTTAAACTGTTCCCTATGTGTCTTCCCACTGATGTATATATATAGTATGTTTTAAAAAGTATGTAAACTGTATATATGTTTTAAAAAATATATTATATATATAATAATATATATTATATAATTTTTTAAATATATATATATAATATATTATATAATGTATATATATAATATTATTATATATAAAATTATTATTTTGTAGTATGTATTATGATGTATTATTTTTATGTTATATATAAATATATATTAATATATATATATATATATATTATATAATTAATATATTAAAATTTATATATAAATTAAAAAGTATTATGTATGTAGTATCTATTTTATATATATTAATATTATTAAGGGCCCCCCATTTTAACGATCACCTCCCAATCACCAATTATGTAAGTGTATTTATGAAAAGTGCTTTTTGTCGTGTTTTTTTTGGGGGGTCTGAAATGGACTAATCTACTTCCAATTTCCTTAGGGGAACAAATTCGGTCAGTACGGCCCTGAACATACTTCGGGAATGAAAAAATATCAAAACCGGGGGTCCACTGTATTAATCACACACACACACACAATATAATATAAAATATATATATATATATAAAATATATATATTAATTAATATTTTTTTTATATATATATATATATTTTTTTAAATATACACACACAAAACCCACACAGTGTCCCCCGTTTTTTCGATTTCCCGGCAATCGTAAACTTCGCCAATCATAGAGGATTTTGTATAAACTGGACTGTTTTTCATGGGTTTGACTCGCGAGTCTGTTGCCGGACGCGTACCCACGGCGGACCCAGGGCGAAACCCAGTCTGGCTTTGTTTACCAGTGAGTAAAGGGTCCCCTCACGTGCTCCCCAAAATATTTCATAAATTCCATTTATTTTAGTGCTTGCAAGTACAAAAAGGGCTACCAGGCCCCAAAGAAAGCCCTAGTCCCAAGCCTGTGGAAAGAAGGGGAAATACGATTAAATTTTAAGAAAACCATCAATAACAATTGAAAAGTGGAAAGGGTGGCCAAACGCCAGGATGTTAAGAAACCCTACAAAACCCTTATTTTCCATAGGGCCAAAAAAAATAAAAATAAAGGAGCTGTTTTGCAAAGGGATAACTATGTGAAAAAAATGAGACACCAGTACTGGAAGATTTTTAAAAGTTTTATTGGTGGGATAAATGAAAACAACAGCAAAATCTCTTATGATTTCGTTTTTTTGTAAAAAGGGCAGGCATTCATGAAGATTTGGTAAAAAAATTGCCTGCAAAAGTTGTGGTGGTGAATTTAAGGCCAAAAAAGCTGGTTTGAGGATTTAAGAACTAACTGGCAAAAACAGGTGGTAGGCATGGTGAGGCTGCCAGTTCGGACCAAAAGGGCGGCTAAAAAAATATGGCATAAAATTCCGGGATACATAGAGGTGAAGGACTAAAACCTAAAACGTGTTCAATGGACAAAACGGGCCTCTTTTGAAGAAAATGCAAAGGGGACCTTCTTACACAAGAGAAAAGGAAAAGCCGGGACCAAGCCTTAAAGGCAGGGCGATGCAAATGTTCTGTGCTAATGCTAGGGGGATTTCAAAGTGAAGCCTTACGTGTACCTTTCTGAAAATCCCAGAGTGTCAGGAAAAACAATGTTATGAAGAGAAAATTGTGGTTTTTTGAACAATAGAAAGGGCAGGGGTCACGAGGGAATTTTTCGGCGAGTGGTTAAAATGAAGTTTTGGCGCAGTGTGAAGGAGTATTTTGGGAAAAAAAATTTGGGATCTAAGTGCCTGCTAGTAAGGACAATGCCCTCTATCCTCCAAACTTGGAGGCCTAATTTTCGAGGATTTGGGGTTCACACAGTAAAGGGTTTTGCCCCCGAATACCATCCTCTCCTCCAACCCAAATGGCCCACAGGTTATTGCAAATTTTAAAAAACTCTACAAAAAAGCAATTTTTTAACAGGTCTTGACTGTCCCACAGACACTCATTACCCTAAGGGTTTTTTTGGGAGAAAAACATTTCAGCATCCTCCACTGCATAACCAAAAGGGTATGGCTTGGGAGGGAGGACTC